CGCCGTGATGCCCATTGCCTTCGCTACTATGCACGCTCTTGTGATCTCCGCAATCCTTCCATTTATAGAATGGTCACCGATATTAGTAGACATTCTTTATTTTTTTTCCGCCCCTGTTTGCTCTGTCCCTTCTCCCTTCGCCTTCATTTGCTCGTCTTCCTTTCAATTACCACCTTTCTATGTTCCCTACCCCCCTGGGAAGTTCCAGCTGTTCGAGTCTGTTCTTTCTCACTCCCTTGCTCGAAAGCCCAACTGTCTACGGTAGCTTCCTGTTCTTTTTCTTGACCACTTCCACTCTCATTCACATGCCATTTCAGTGTACACAGATGGCGCTAAGTCTTCTGACGGCATATGATTCGCAGCAGTGTTTCTGGACAGCGTCGTATGAGGGCATTTACTGTCTTTGGATAGTATTTTTACTGCTGAATTGTATGCCATTCTTGCAGCACTTATCCGTATTGCATCTATGCCTGTCATCACTTGTGGTTGTCTCAGACTCCCTTAGTGCTTTACAGGCTATACAGAAATTTGATACACCTCGCCCCTTCGTCCTCTGTATCCAACTTTGGCTACGCCGCATCTCTTCCAAGCATAAAGATAGTTAAACAAACCATACCCCGGCCGGGATTGAACTCGCCGTCAGAGAGTCCCAAAACTCCAGCCCGTCACACTAGCCACTAGACCAGCTAGCCACTAGACCAGCTAGCCACAATAAGATTCGTCCAACTAGGTATATTTCTACACCATAGGAAGGTTAGCACAGTAGTGCCTGTGCTAACCTTCCTATGGTGTAGAAATATACCTAGTTGGACAAATCTTATTGTGGCTAGCTGGTCTAGTGGCTAACGCGACGGGCTGGAGTTTTGAGACTCTCTGACCGCGGGTTCAATCCCGGCCGGGGTATGGTTTGTTTGCAATCGTGTCATTACGATTTTGTGAGTCATAAAGATAGTTTTTTGTTGGGTCCCTGGTCGTGTTGACGTACAGGCCAATGAACAGGCAGACACTGCTGCACGGTCAGCAGTACATGACCTACCAGTTTCATATAGAGGTGTTCCATTTACGGACTATTTTGCTGCAATAGCTACCCACCTTCACACCCGTTGGCAACAACGTTGGTCTACTCTGCTCTGTAACAAACTTCAATCTATTAAACCGAGAATAGGTTACTGGCTGTCTTCTTGTCACCAGTGTCGAGGTTGGGAGACTACTCTCTCCGTCTTCGCATTGGCCATACTCGTCTTACTCATGGTTATCTCATGGAGAGGCGCCCTGCTCCTCTGTGAAAATTGTCAGGTTCCATTATCGGTTAGCCACATTCTATTAGACTGCCCACTTTATCAACGAGCATGCAGAATATACCTCCAACATCGTCTTCGCTCCGCTGCTCTCTCTTTACCTTCCCTTCTCGCTGTTGGACCCACCTTTCATCCAGACTCTCATTGACTTTTTGACAACAACTGACTTACTTCACGAACTCTGATGATACCTTCAGCCCTTTCTACCTCAATCTCTTGCTGCCCTCTACCCCCACACTATCCCCTGCCCTGCTGTTTTCTGTAACCTACTGATCATCCCTCCCCCCTTCTGCCGCCCAATACCCTCGCTTCCTTCCCTACCCTGCAGCGCTGTATAGCCCTTGTGGCTTAGCACTTCTTTTTTATTATAATAATATCAATTTAAGGAACTGAAGTTCATTCTAATTATTATTATTATTATTATTATTATTATTATTATAATAATAATTTGGGGAACTGGAGCACAGATCCAATTCCCTAGATCAAGAGCCCTCACGAGCATGAAGGTTCTGTGATGCTGGTGAGGGGCTGTTGCTCTAGAAATTGGATTTCTGTGCTTCATTTCCTTAAATTAATAATAATAGTACAGTGGACCCCCGGTTATCGGCCGTAATCTGTTCCAGAAGGTTGGCCGATAACTGAAATGGCTGATAACCGAATTAATATAATCCATTCCAAACAAAAATATTCACATAAAATATTTTTTTTTAACAATTGTGTAAGTATTCCAATTATGTAAGTATTAGTTATGTATTACAATTATGTAAGTATTACATAACTTTATTGAAGGCTAATGCTGGAAGATAGGGAGGAGGAAAGAGGGAGGAGTTAGTGTTTGGAAGAGGAATCCCTCTCCATAAAGACTTTAGGTAGCAAAGCCTTCTCTGGGATTACTTCTCTTCTGTCTTTTATTGTCACTAGGACTAGCTTGAGTCACTGGACCTCTGTCTCACAAAATAACTGTCCAGTGTGCTCTGTTTGTCATTTTTAAGATTTCCCTGAAGTGGGACAGGGTTTTGTCACTAAACATGTTGCAGATATGGGTTGTTTCAGCTTTGTCAGGGTAGTGTTTCTCTACAAAAGCTTGCACCCTAGTCCACATTGCACACACCTCTTTAATCTCTGAAGAAGGTACCTCCTTCACTCCCTCTTCTTCCTCCTCTGAAGCAAGTTCCTCAGCTGCAGTCTGTTGCTATTCGAGATGAAGCTCTTGCAGCTCTTCAGTGGTTAGCTCTTCACTGTGGTCCTCCACCAACTCTTCGACATCCTCACCACTCGCCTCCAACCCCAGGGACTTCCCCAGTGCCACAATAGTCCGCAGGGTCAGGGTCTGCCTCAAACCCTTCAAAATCCCTCTCTTGGACACAATCTGGCCACAGTTTTTTCCAAGCAGAGTTCAAAGTCCTGGAAGTCACTCCCTCCCAAGTCTTACCTGTAAGGCTTATGCAATGGATGATAGTGAAGCGATTCCTCCAGAACTGTCTTAGGGTCAACCGAGTGTTCGAGGTCACTTCAAAGCACTTTTAAAACACTGCCTTTGTGTAGAGTTTTTTGAAGTTAGAAATGACCTGCTGGTCAATGGGCTGGAGGAGAGGAGTGGTGTTAGGAGGCAAGAACTTTACTGTGATGAAACTGAAGTCCCTAAACACTTGGTCTTGCAAGTCTGGAGGATGTGCAGGAGCATTGTCCAGTACCAGGAGGCACTTGAGTGGCAATTTCTTTTCCAGGAGGTATTTTGTCACACTTAGGTCAAACACATCATTAACCCACTCTATGAAAATTTGCCTTGTGACCCATGCCTTATGATTAGCTTTCTACATCACACAATCTATTATTCATGACCTTGTTTTTCTTCAACACGCTGGGATTTTCTGAGTGATACTCGAGTCAAGGCCTCGCTTTGAAATCCCCACTAGCATTACCACACAACAAAAGAGTAAGCCTGTCTTTCATGGGCTTGTCCTGGCAGTGCCTTTTCCTCCTGGGTAATGTAGGTCCTGTTTGGCATTTTCTTCCAAAACAGGCCTGTTTCATCACAATTGAACACTTGTTGGGGTTTGAATCCTTCAGCCTTTACATAGTCCTGGAATTTGTGAACATACTTTTCAGCTGCACATTTGTCAGAACTTGCAGCCTCACCATGCCTTACAACACTGTGTATGCCACTATGCATCTTAAATCTATCAAACCATCCTTTGCTGGCCCTAAATTCATAAACTGCAGCACTAGTTCCAGTCATGTTCTTTGCAAGATCCTCATGCAACTGCTTTGCCTTCTCACAAATGATTGACTCCACAACACTGTCTCCCACTAATTCTTTTTCCTTAATTCACAATAATAATAACTTTTCCAACTCTTCCATTATTGGTGGCCTTTGCAACATTAGCATCTTTGGTGTGTTCTTTCTTTGCCAGGATGGATTTAATTGTTGATTTATTCTTGCTGTACATCCTGGCAAGTTCCACCACCTTTATACCACTCTCAAACTTTTCTATCACTTCACGCTTAAAATCCATGGTGTTTCTCACTTTCTTTACCACAGGAACTTTACTAGGAACTTTCTTTGGAGCCATCTTTACTTATTTCACAGTTGCATTGCAAGAAAAACCACTAAAAACAATGGTAAACAAGCGAAATGTTTGGATGTATGAGCAGAAGCTTCCTCAGCCACCGAGAGACAAAGCCAAACTGAAGTGCAAGCTGCCCCAGCCGGCGGATGGACGCATCCAAAACGGCCAATAACTGAGCGAATGGCCAATAACCGGGCGCCAAAAAACCCGCCAATAACCAAACTGGCTGATAACCATGGGTCCACTGTAATAATTATTTTAATAGTAATAATAATAATGAGCGAGTTTCAGAACATCGCAACTAGGTGCCGCAGTGAATGCCACATCAGCTGAGCTGCGCATGTGTTTGTCGCCTTGGAAGCATTCTCATGTTGCCAAATTTCTTTTTTCTAACCATGGGTCCTAAGAAAGTAAGTGGAAAAAACAGTTCTGAGAAGAAAGAGGATGATGTCCATGGAATTACAGCATGAAATCATAGATAAACAAGCGAGGTGTGTGGGTTGTTGCTAGGCAGTACGAGCTAGTAGAAAGTAGCCTATCTTCCACCCTCCACCTCCACCAGCATATGTACACTTTATAAAACAAGTTTATTTCTTTACATTATTATGTATTTATACAATATTTCTTATTTACAAATACATTGTTACAGTGCTTTCCTTATGAAACTATTGATCTAGTGCAGTTAGCTTCACAGACACTCCATTTTGTCTTGTAAGAGCATCTGAAAATAGTCAGTGGAAGCGGGAATGGATGCTGTCGCTATCACTAGTAACATGATGACATATTTTATTATTCTAGAGTATATATCGTGTTTCTATGTTATTTATATTGTTTGTTATGCCATATTAGAATTGTGATAGATAAATAAGCCATAGAGTTGATATTAGCATCATATTGAAGTATTTTGTCCTGCCTCCTGAGAGCAGGAATTCTGCTGGAATGCATTAATGGCATTTCAGTTAATTTAAACAAGGAAAATTGATTTGATATATGAGCAAATTGAGTTATGAGCTAGGTCATGGAACGGATTAAACATGTAAGTCGAGGTTTCACTGTATTAATAATAAGAGATAATTAATATTCAATATTTATAATAGTGTTAACATATAGTAAGTGATATTTGTTTGTGAAGGTGACGGAGGTGATGGAGGCACTAGAGTCGTCCTCCACGCTGGTATTTATTGACCTGGCTTGGCCTGGATCACTCAGACGAAGACTCCACATCCTGCTGGATACTGACACCATGATGGCCAGACAGTTTGTGTTGCTGTGTACTGGACAGCATCAGTCAGGCTCCTCGTACCTTAACACTAAACTGTTGAAAGTGTGGAACAAGGGTGAGCCAGGGGAGTGTGTGATGGCTGGAGACTACCAGTATAATAATGGTGAAGGAGGAGCACCACTACTGCCTCACCAGCGTGATCACCAGTACCAGAAGTCAGGCAGTGCTGGTTCTGTGGTGTCACAGTATTGGCCGTGGGGTGACCAGAGTGCACAGTTCTGCATCACCACCAGGGACTTCACAGATGGTGGCCAGTGGCCCCGTGTCTTTGGTAAGGTGCTGAGAGGCCTGGATGTGGTGAGAGCAGTAGTCGACCACAGTGACATCACAGAGGTGACTGTTGTAGACTGTGGTGTTGTGTTTACATTCTAGTTCACTACCAACACTCCTGTGTTTCACCATAACTGCAATAGTGTCAACAGTTACTATCACCACAGTGGTGTCACCACTACAGTGGTGTCACTGCAGTGGTGTCACCATCACGACAGTGCCACCATTATGGTCAGCATTAATGGTCATTATTATGGTCAATATTAATGTTTGGTCATTATGTCTTGTGTAGCATTTTCTGTGTGATATTCTTGTTTGCTTATTTTCTTAGTGTAACTTTAATGAACAATTTTCATGTTCAATGTTTTAAGGTGGCTTTTATGGTCAGTATTCATGTTTTGTTAATATTTTGTTTTGGATGGATTTTATGGTCAATATTTTTTTTATATTACTAAAGTACTGTTAAGTCTTGTTGTACCTGGTCATGCAAGAAAGCAGCTCAAGTGTAGTCAATATAACATTGATGAATAAAATGTTGATCACACATTAATGTTTTATTAACCAAGCACAAGTTTGATAGTAATGACCTCTGCAGGTACTTGTACTGTACATGTCTTGTGGTAGTGACCTTGAGAGGTACTTGTAATCCAGCCTCAGGGTCAACAGGCCCTCTCCCAGAATTGTTCTCAGGGTAGAAAAATTAAAAAAAAAAAAATTATGAAAAGATAGGTTTTTTTTTTTTAATCTTATAGGCTAAACAAAAAATAATTTACCATCAATACTTAATGAGATATGGAGGCGTGAAGTTAACAGAAAATGACTGGCATACGGTAACATCGCCGATTGCCGGTCACCTGGTTTTAGGTTTAGTTTTTTGGTATAATTTTCTATTTTTTTTTTCAAGTAACTTTTATGGCCTGTGAGACCAGTATGAGCACTATTTTGTAAGTTTTTCCTCTTCAAGGGGGGCTCCTTGGTGTGGTGAAGAGGCTCTTGGTCTGAGGAATTAGACCTGTCAGTCTCCTTCCTCAGACCGAACCTAATTACCCTCCACTCCCCCCTTCCCTATCCCATCCTCCCCTTTTTTCCTTTCCTCCTCCTCCCCACCCCTCCCTTTTGCCCTTCCTTTTTTGGCCTTTGGAATTTTCCCACAGGCGCACTAGTTCCTAGGTAGGGGAAAGGGTACCTTGGTCCATCCCATTCCGTTGAGGTTCTTGGCGGTGGCGTAGTTTGCCGTGGAATCTGGACCGCATGGGGATGTCCCGATTCATCCCCAGTATCCCGGAGGGTGGCTTTGGGTGTCTTTTGGGCGACGGGTGTACCTCTGGAAGCCACCTTTCGGATTCCGGGGGTGGTGGCCAGAAGGAGGTATGCTTTGTGGCGGATTTCCGGCCGCCCTCTCTTTCGTTCACTGAGGTAGCTCGGCAGATGTGAGGTTGCTATCCCGGATTGCCGGTTTACTGGCATGATGGGTAGGGTATGGCACGGGTTCCATGCTGCATCTGCGCTGCTTGCGGTGCTAAGGTCCTCTTGGGCGAGGAGGGAGATTTCTGGCCCTTTCATTCCTCCTAGGAACTATCCCTCCCCGGTCCCCCCAAACAAAAAGAAAGAAGTAACCTAACCATGGCAGCCCTAGTCCATGAACCTGCTACCCCCGGACCCCTTATTGATACCACACCCCGTTCTGACCCCGCCTCGTCTTTGGACCACTCTTCGGACACTCCTCATGCCTCTGTACCTCTTGCCGGTGCTGTTTCCTCACCCGCTTCAGGTACTGAGGCCTCAACTGACTCCTTCGATTTATCTGACCTTCGCTCTCCTCTGACTATGCTTCCGGCCTCTCCCTCTACGGTGCGGCAATTTTCGAATCGCCGGCCCGTTCCACATCGGACCAACTCTGGTCCCATGCCTAAACGCCAACGACAATTACCTGCTGATGATACTTCTCCACCTTCTCGTTCTTCTCAGAAAAGATCAACACGTCCTTCACTACCTTTCCACGCTCAGTTTCAGACTGCACAATGGACTAAATTCTTCACTTTACGACCGACTTCCTCTACTGCCTATCTTTCTGACCACAGTATTGGCAAGGCACTCCTACGCCATGTTGGTAAAGATATTTCTTTTCATGCTCTTAAGAGCGGTATGTGCATCGTCACCGTACAGAATGCTACCCAGGCTCATGAGCTTTCTCGTCTTTCCCATATCGATACTGTTCCTGTAACTATTGAAAAGCATCATTCCCTCAATTCTTGTAGTGGTACAGTCATTCTGCCCCCATACCATAGTTCAACAAAATTTCCAGATATGTGGCACTGACATTCTTGAACAGTTGGAACTCCAAGATCTCCCAATCCTCAAGGTAGACACTTACGTTCTTCCTGCCCGCGGGTGGAGACGATACCCTAGCAATGTGGCTCGTTTAACTTTTGACAGCCGTGAACTCCCATCCTCAGTTTTTGTAGCAGGACATAGGTTACAAGTTCGAAAGGTGATCCCTACACCGCAACAGTGTAGAAATTGCTGGCGATTTGGCCATCCAGCGAAATATTGCAGATCTATCGCCGGATGCCCAGTCTGTGGTGCCGATGTCCATTCTAATACGTCTTGCAATCGACCTCCCTCTTGCCTTAATTGTCATGAGGCTCACCCTTCGTACTCTCGCCGTTGTCAAGTCTACTTAAATGAACGGGAAATCCGTTACCTCAAAGAGACAGAAGGTCTCCCTTATGCCATGGCAGTTTCTCATCTCCGCCTCCAAGGGAGACTACCTCGTGTTTCTTATTCCCGTGTTTCAAAACGTCCCCCCACTTCTGGTATCCCATCTTCTGCACCCACCTCTGTGGTTACCTCTCCCATAGTCACTCCTGTATCTAATTCTTTTGCTGTCCTCGGCTCAGACGTCCCTACTTCAACGTCTCAGTCTGATCTCGCTTCTTCATGTTCTCTCACAAGCCTCAGTAGCGATGAGATCTCATATGACACCTCCCAATCGTCCCTCTACTTCTCAAAAGTCAAAAAAAGGTCTGTTAACACCTCCTACCCATCTTCCACCTCCTCATTTTCCCTTCCCTGTCTCTGTACCTGGTTCTCCCATTCTCACTGGCTGTTACAAGTGTAGAGGTTCACCCTCCTCCTCGTACTGTACCTTTCTCCCCTGTTCCTCTCCAAGTTTCTTCCTCTTCTGCCACCTCCCAGGTTTCTTCCTCTTCTGTCCTCTTCCACGCTTCTCCAGTTCCCTCCACCCTTTCGCCCCCCCCTACCTTGGTACAGTCCATTACAGTTCCAATCTTTACTCATCCTCCCCCTACCATTTCCAGTATTGTCTCCCATACGACGTCTCTGAATTCTGAAACACTTGAAGCAATCTCTGAATATATTGCAGAGACCAAACCATCAATGGACACTGATCCACCCTCCGCTCCATCTCTCTCCTCTACTCCATCTGCACAACTCCTTTCTTCACAGCGCACAGTTCCTTCGCTGCTTGAACGTTTTCCACTGCCTCCGCATGTGGACTTTCCTAACCCCTCTAGTCCGTAGGAACCCTTACCTGCGGATTTCAGGTATCTTTATCATAGCCAATCATGGCCTATTTACAGTGGAATATACACGGCCTCATGGGTAATCGGGGTGAGCTTCAGATGTTACTCTCCCAGTTTTCCCCTGTTGGTGTTTGCTTACAGGAACCAAAATTACACTCTGCTGTTATCTGTCCCATCTCAGGCTATAATTTATTGCATTCTTCAGATCCTTTTCCTGATGGGACCTTTAATGAAAGTGCCCTTCTTCTACGCACTGATATTCTGTACCATCAGCTATTTGTTCGTACTTCGCTGCATTACACAGCAGTCCGTATCCACTTGCATAGGTGGTATATGCTCTGTTCTTTATCTCTCTCTCCTTCTCGGGCATTATCTATTCCGGATATTGCCTTTCTTGTTTCGTCATTACCACCACCGATTCTGTTACTTGGTGATTTTAATGCCCACCATTTCCTCTGGGGGGGGTCTCACTGTGATTCCCGTGGCATTCAGTTAGAGGCTTTTCTTGCCACCCACCCCCTCCATGTTTTAAATACAGGTACTCTCACCCATTTTGATCCTCGGACTCTAACTCTCTCTTGCATCGATCTCTCAGTCTGCTCTTCCTCCTCCGCATTAGACTTCACTTGGTCTGTTCTTCCAGACTTACATGACAGCGATCATTTCCCAGTCATTCTTACTTCCCCTTCATATTCACCACCTCTTCACATCCCACGCTGGCAATTTGATCAGGCAAATTGGAACCTTTACTCACAGCTAACTGTTTTTAGTGAAGTTCCTTCTTCGTCCTCCATTGATGAGCTTTTGCACCTCTTCTCATCCTCCGTTTTAACTGCAGCTTCTCATTCTATACCCCAAACTTCGGGCAGGCATTCTCAGAAATGCATGCCTTGGTGGTCTCCTGCTTGTGCTCATGCAGTACGTTTGAAACACGCTGCGTGGGGCAGGTACCGGTACAATAGAACCATGGAGACACTTCTTGATTTTTAGCAGAAGCTCGTTGTGTCATCTGTGACGCTAAACGCACTTGCTGGCGAGATTGTCTCCACCATCACCTCTGCTTCCTCTGAGTGCAGTCTGGAAAAAAGCACAAAAACTGAGTGGTAAATAGTCTCCTGACCCGGCTCCTGTTCTGCAATTTTCCGTTATTGATATAGCAAACCCACCAGATGTTGCCAACAAAATTGGCAATCATCTGGTCCGTATTTCTCAGGGGCTCCATCTATGCACCTCGTTTCTTTCCTCAAAGTCTGCCAGAGAGTTAGCACCCTTGGACTTTTCTTCTCTCAGAGAAGAACAGTATAATGTGCCTTTTACACTTCAAGAACTGGAGGCAACACTCTCAGCTTGCCGATCATCGGCAGCTGGGCCCGACGACATTCATATGCTACAACATTTACATCCATCAGCTTTTGCAATCCTATTACGCCTTTTCAATCTTATTTGGTCACAAGGAGTTCTTCCACAGCCGTGGAAGTCTGCCATTGTTCTCCCTTTCCGCAAACTGGGCACTACGGGACATGAAGCCTCCTGCTATCGTCCCATTGCTCTTACCAGTGCAGTTTGCAAAGTGATGGAACGCTTGGTAAATAGACGTTTAGTGGTATTTAGACACACACAACAGTCTGTCCACTCGTCAATATGGCTTTCTTAAGGGCCGTTCTACCATAGACCCCTTACTACGCTTGGATACGTATGTTAGTAATGCCTTTGTGAATAACCACTCAGTTATTGCCACATTTTTTGACCTTGAGTAGGCATATGACACAACTTGGAGGTATAATATTTTGGCCCAAGCCCACTCCTTAGGCCTCTGAGGCAATCTACCATCCTTCCTTAAGAACTTTTTAACTGACACATTTCCGTGTTCGGGTTAACAATGTGCTCTCCCCGGACTTTATCCAAGCTGAAGTTGTCCCCCAGGGATGTGTTCGGAGCACAACACTTTTTCTCCTTCCTACGAATGATTTGGCCTCTAGTCTTCCATCAGATATTTGGT